TGATGAGACAGTGAGGAGGATCGAAAATGGTTTATGGAGGCTATGCAATCGCAGACTTTAGATGTAGTCAAGCGCATGAAGGAGATTACACTAGTTATGCAAACACCTGAACAGGTTTTGGTTGAACATGGAGTAACACCTGAAGATATCGAAGGTGCTTAGCTTAATTCGGCCATAATACATAGTTTAGGGCTTATCTTTTGCAATCTTGTGGAGTTATTAATTTGAGTTTCATAATCTTGTAGATGTGCTCGATGAGTTGCAGGAGCACGTTGAATCGATCGATATGGCTAATGGTAAACTAATCTCTTACTTGGTAGAAACTTGGTTTTCTCTTTTTTTTTTGTGTGTTGTGGTTAGAGTTTAATTTGAATCTTGGTTACTGACTATTGTGTAGATCTTCATTCGATTGGAGGCTTAGTTCCGCTTCTTGGGTTCCTTAAGAATTCTCATGCTAATATTCGGGCAAAAGCTGCTGATGTCGTAAGCACAATTGTTCAGAACAATCCTCGAAGTCAGGAGTTAGTTATGGAAGTCAATGGTTTGGAGTCGCTGCTTTCGAACTTCACTTCCGACACAGATGTTCATGCTCGAACTCAGGCTCTTGGCGCAATATCATGTAACCCTCGCTCTGATATTTTCTGATAAAGATTGAGATGATTAAAACACTTTTATGATTTTGGCATAGTATCTGTTTATGGTAATCTACTAAAGACTTCCTTTTCAATAATATGTAGCTTTGATTCGCCATAACAAAACGGGAGTCACGGCGTTCAAGCTTGCTAATGGTTATGCTGGCCTGAGAGACGCGTTGGCATCCGATAGTGTAAGATTTCAAAGGTAATCGATCAATCACACAAATGCTCTTATTCCTTCCAGCTTTTTTCGGTTTAACCTTGGAAGATTCTTGGCTTTCTAAATTCTCCAGGAAAGCCTTAAACTTGCTGCAATATCTTCTGCAAGAGGATGATTCAGACCGCAGTATTGCTACTGGACTCGGATTTCCCCGAGTGATGATGCATCTCGCGTCCAGTGAAGATGCTGAGACAAGAGAAGCCGCTCTTCGTGGATTACTCGAGCTCGCAAGAGACAGAAATGATGGAAGAGAATCTAGCAGCAGCATAGAGAAAGGCGATGAGAAACTGAGGCAGCTTCTGGAAGACCGGATCAAAGGAATCAGCTCGATGTCACAAGAGGATCTCGAAACGGTTAAAGAAGAGAGACAGCTAGTGGATTCACTGTGGAGCATTTGCTACAACGAACCTTCTTCTCTGAGAGAGAAAGGGCTTCTTGTTCTTCCGGGCGAAGATGCTATGCCTCCTGATGTCGCAAGCAAGCTCTTCGAGCCTCCTCTTAGAGCTTCTGCTGCAAACCGTAATGCCACTGAGAAGAAAGAGGAACCTCTGAAACTACTTGGACCATAAGCGAGAACTCGAAGCTGAAGTTTATACTACTTTTCAGTTGTTTTGTGTTTTGTAACTTTTCAAATTTTCAGAAAAAAAATCCATAGATACATCAATGTCAAGAATCTAATGTTATGTTATGGTAATCTCTATCTTTGATTATTTGAGATTCTTTAGACAAAACAAAACCAAGCAGAAAAATGACAAAACTTGGGTTTTCTTCCTGATTCCGGTTTAGCAATAACCAACGTAAACCAGATATAACGAAGCTATCTTACAGTTATCCCTAAAATAAAGAGCCCACGAACTTTTTGCCTAACACTTAGGGACCCGAGTTCGATATGAAGCAGTCACATGTCGGAAGAAATCTTTCAGCTTCGACTTCTTCCGCCGCCGTCGCCGTCGCCGTCGCGGCTGAAACCGGTATGTTATGTAGTCACTGATAAACGAATATGCCATTAAGCCCTAATCTTTTCCACTTCTTCGCACGATCGCGTAAAAGGAGTTTCTTTTGTTTTTGTTAAAATCTGAATCTTTTCTTTATTGAACAGTTTAAGACTGGAAGCTGTTGTTTTCGAATCGATTGAAGCCGCGTCTCTAGGTTTTTGGATTCATACTATTAGCTAAATCTGGAGTTGGAAGATTGAAGCTGCGTTCTCTGAGTATTGGATTCGTATTATTAGCTAAAAGTTTGGAGTTTCCTGAGTTTATTGAGCCCATGGTGTGGTGTAACCATTGTAGGAAGTACGTTCCCGGAGATCGCCCCTACGACGGTGCATTGTAAGTCAAATCAACTGATGTTAGGGATTCAGTTTCTGTTGGATTTGTGGCTTCTAGCTTGAATTTCGTGTTTTGGTGCTTTTTGCAGGTCGTGTAATTTATGTGGGAGGGTATTGGAGGATTTCAATCTTTCTACTGAAACTACTTTCGTTAAGAATGCGGCTGGACAGGTATATAATGCAGCTGCGATTTGGTTTCAGTAACTTCTTTTGATGCTCTTCTGCTTTAGGACTAGTGATGTTTTCGATGCAAGGTTAAGAAAATGTGAGAATTTGTGTTGGAAATCTTGGAATTCTTGTCAATTCTATCCTTAAATGTTCTTTAGGGGTTGTAAGAGAAGTTATGAACTTTATCTTGTTTAGATTCTTAAGTGTTGAGTATATTAGATGTACTCGTCCCTCTTTAGCTTGATCCTTACCTCCACTAATATGGGTTTTTTGAAACTATGTTGTGACCATTTATATAGAAGTTCAAAACTACCAGAGTGAAAAAAAATATGCACGAACTAACAAGGTTAATTGATACAAGTAGCAATATCTTCGCTAGAATAGACAATGGGTTTATTTTCAAGACCACAGTCTCATTAGTGATATATAGAGAGTTGGAGTAAGATGCTGTCTTATCCTCTCGTCTTTATAACATATTTGGTGCCTTTGGTTTTCTTGGTAAAAAAGTTGGTTCAAGCATACACATTATTTCTGTGCCTGCAGAGCCAAGCGTCAGGTAACACAGTGAGGAGTGTTGAGAGTGGGATTTCAAGCTCACGTGAAAGGCGAATTAGAATAGGTATGCCTTGTTTTTGTATATGAATTCTTGTTCACTGCTGGCCTAAATAATGCAACAGTGACTTTTGAAAAACAAGAAGAGACGTATCATTCCTTGATCTTTGGATCATCTTTTGGCCTAACTGCTTGTTTTGTATTTCCCATCCTTTGATCTCCTGCCATATTCGAATGTGACTGTTTGAAGAAACCATTGAATTATTAGGCTCTTTCCGTTTATGCAATTGTGATTTTTATACTACCTGACAGACGTTGATTCTTTGTGCAGCTAGAGATGAATTTATGAATTTGAGAGATGCATTGGGAATTGGTGACGAGGGAGATGATGTAATTGACATGGCTGCTCGATTCTTTTCAGTAAGTTTGGTTTACATATTATCTAAAGTTAATTTGCAAGGAATTTTACCCCTTCTTTTAACTCAATTTATCTTCTAAAGATGGCAGTTGAGCAAAATTTCACGAGAGGCCGCAGAAGTGAACTAGTACAGGCTTCTTGTCTCTACTTGACTTGCAGGTTACATTCTTAGTAATCGCCTTATTGCTCTCTTAATTTTGTTTTCCTTGTTGAAGTAACATGCTGAATTATTTTACCAGTGATGAATATTGAATAATTCACTGTATTTGACCAACCTTTCTTGATCTGCAGGGAAAAGGACATACCATTTCTCCTTATTGATTTTTCAAGCTACCTTCGAGTTAGCGTGTAAGATGA